GAGCTTTTGGCTCATTTTCAAGTATTATTTTAAGCTTAAGTTATTTTAACTATTATGCAGACTACTAACTTCATGAGAAAATGTGAAAATTTCAGAGCAAAATTATTTTCACGTGATGGCAGCTTACAGTTTTGTTTATTTTTCCTATCAAAATTGTAGCACAAAGTACAGACTAAGGTCTATAAAAATTCGGGATGACCGAACATCAGAATATCGGGATATTCCACGCGGATCGGTACATCTGGTAACACTAGTTCTAGGGAGTGCGGTAAATACAAAGGCGTTCTTTGTTTGACGCCGACCATCCACGTGGACTGATGGATTTGAATAGAAGGTCATTCAAAACACGTGTAATTAGATCGAAGAATCATAACTATTAAGTTTAAGCTGTTATTATGGACTAAAATTTTTATTGACATTTAATAAGGTATCCATCTAATATCAAGTTAATGGTATTTGTTTGGTTCCGCATAATAAAGAAAAAGTTCATGATTTCTTTGCAGAGTTTTTTAATTTTTGTTAATGCGCGCGATAAATAACTACACGTGCTGCCACCAACCGAACAAGCTCGGAGCCCGAGAGTCGATGTCTTTCACATCGACTCAACGCGTCGCGTTAAGAACGCTAATTTATTTAATACTTTCCGCAAAAACTTTTAATTGTTCAATTAAAAATATTGGCGCGAACCTCCATACTTTCATTTAAAACAAAAAAAAATTACAAATTATTTAAAAATATAGTCCACAATTATTATTTTTTTTTTAATTTTTATGTCTAAATACTTATTTGTATTGAACATAGTAAAGTCAATTTGTATAAATTTTTTCGTATTTTTTTTTTTTGCCCAAAATTATTAAATATGAAACAGTGCCATCTTGTAGATTGACTTATGACTATTTACGGTTATCAGTTATTTAATTAACAATGGTAATAGTACGTGTTGTGCCTATTTGTATTAGACAAATTAAGAGTGAATACATTTTTAATTCAATAATTTTTATTTAATTTGACCGTATTTTTTGATATCCGTGACATCAAAAAAATTATCTAAATTCAACAATTCGAAAAACCTGGACAACCAAATTGATAAAAATTTAAATTATAAAATGATCTGTCGTCAAAATTTACTAATGTATTGGGTTTTTCTTTCTATAAGTGTTTTGGGTTTTAAAATGCTCGATTGATTAATCTTCGAAATATCATACGAAATGAAATTCGAAATACAGTAATCACTACATAGTATAAAACAAGGTGGTCCCGCTGTCCGTCTGTCCCTATGTATGCTTAGATCTTTAAAACTACACAACGGATCTCGATGCGGTTTTTTTTTTAATACATAGAGTGATTCAAGAGGAAGGTTTATGATTATAGTATAATAATATGAATAGATTAATGAAAAAATAATGAATTCCATCAATCACTATCACTACATAGTATAAAACAAAGTCGTCTCGCTGTCTGTCTGTCCCTATGTATGCTTAGATCTTTAAAACTACGTAATGGATCTCGACGCGGTTTTTTTTACTAGCTAGAGTGATTCAAGAGGAAGGTTTATAATTATGTATAATACATTGCACCCGTGCGAAGCCGGGGCGGGTTGCTAGTAAAGGTATAATAATATAAATAGATTAATGAAAAGATAATGATTTCATTCAATATGTACTTATAAAATAGTCTATGCTGTTGATAAAAAGAGCATTTTTATCAACAGCATAGACTGTATGTATTACAATTATTGTGACAATGATATTATAAGTAATCTTTATCTGAAATCGATCAACCAAACACTAACTTTAGTTTATGACCAAATTTCTAGTACTTACATAAATAGACTTTCTTTTTTGAAGATCATTGGCTAGCATAAATTCATGGAAGGAAGCCGTATATTTAATATTATTGTCATATTTTTAAATTTTTTGTATTATTAGGTAGACTAAAATTTTAAAACATAATAAATGTCTTGTCTCATTGATTTTTATAATTATTGTCTTACCAAATCAATACTTTATTCTACTATTTTAGAGCAGGAAGCCTTTAATACAAAAAATATTATGCATAGTAAAGTAACGGTTACATGTTACAACCACGACATTCGATCAGACGACTGGTAGGTTTTATAAACAAATCGTAGCTGTTATTTTTGTGAGCAAAAATGAAAATATGATTTAAAATACTCGTTTCACAATTCAATGACTACGTGGCGCAGTTGACAAGGCTTCGGCGTCAGGCATCTTGGGGTCGATTCCCACACGGGACAACTATTTATGTGGCCCACAGATATTTCTTTCGCATCTGGGTGTTTGTCTGCGTGAAATTTATGTTTGTAAAATGTCCTTAGAACATAGGATAAAAAGTAAAGTAACAGCCTATACATATCCCACTGCTGGGCAAAGGCCTCTATACAGAGGGTATAAGGGCCCCACTGCGGATTGGCGGACTTCAGATATCTTCGAAATATTTTTTTGTTATTATTTCGAAAATATGCAGGTTTCCTCACGATGTTTTCCTTCACCGCGGAGCACGTGATAAGTCAGCACTTAAAGTTAAAAACCTCATTGGTGCCGGCACCGGGGATTGAACTCAGGTTGCTCGAGTGTATTGAATTAAAGGCGAGTGCCCGGATACTGAGCTATCACGGCTATAGGGATACGGATATCAACACAGGATAATTTTATCCTAAATTAAGGGAATTTTTTTAAGAAAAATAAAATTACAAACCAATATAAATCAAGAAGTGAACTAAATGTTACAGGTCTTATTTAAAATGAATATTTTGAAAATTTATTTATTAGCTTCAGTATAAAATTCCATGTATTAATTCACAATAAGTGTATACAAATTCTTCAGAAATAAAAGTATAAAAATAGAATTTCATAGATCCAAAACTATCAGTTGTGATACTTCGAACCAATTACACGTGTTTTGAATGACCTTTATGTCACTTTCATCAATCTAAGTTAGGTGGATTGTCGGCGCGCGTGTAACAGTTAACAAAGACCACCTTTGTACTTACCGCGCTCGTTTCAAGTACAGTTACCAGATGTACCGATTCTCGCGGAATATCCCGATCTTCCTTAGTCTTTACTTTGAGTTAGAAAATTAGAAAAATTGATACTTAAATTGCAAGCTAGTATTACTTTAGTATTTTTATTAGAAATTTTCATACTGTCTCATGGATTTGTAAATAATCAAATTAAGGTTTTTTATTTTCCAGCGTTGTGTGTCGCCTTGATTGAAGTAGTGAAATGGAATGGTTAAAATGTTAACAATACAAATAAAAAATAACTTATAAAATACTTGCAAATGAGTCCAAAAGTTTCTAAATTAGGTAAGGCGATTAAATAGTCGAAACGGTTATGTTTGAATTTTGTGATATTTTAAAGAAGGTCAATTAGTTTCTTAAAGTGTTATTTGATTAGTTCTTGTAGTAGTCAATGGTAAAATACTATTAAAAGAAACCGAAAAAAAAAGTTTATTACTTTATTGCCTATTAAACCCCCGTCCTAATATTTTAATCAGTAGACATGGTAACCTTATTGTCGGCGCGGCAAAGTAGTCCTGCACAAACGTTGCTTATGTGTTTAACTACATAAGCCGCTTTGGTAGGTAAATAAGTCGCTTTCTTTGTGTTATTTAAATTGTCGAATCAGTTACTCTCCAGCCATTTAGGCATGAAGTCTATTTAATGATTTTTATTTTTTAATTATCGATTTATTATTGATAAAAGTTGTCACAGACATAGTCATATGCTCAGTAATTACTACATGATATTATTCAGTGCTGCGGATAGAACTACCATCGATTTATTTTGAACTTTACTACGAGTACACCAACTTTTGACGCAACTGTCGCTTCTACCTACGAATTATTTCTGCAAAGATGTTCTGGAGTTCGGACGTATGCGCGTACTATTTGACGCACACCAACTGCACCACAAGCATTTGCCACAAGCCGAAACAAGTGAACAGCAAGCAAGAATGCTGAAATAAATTTAGATCTGATGATCATTGAGTTAACAAAAAGGAGCTGGAATGAGCGATTGCCCGAAGCGCCTGACCGTGAACGCGTCGTTTGTTTGCAAATGAAGAAGCGCTCCGGTTTTATGGGAATTTTTATTCGGACTTCGGTGTGTTTTTAAGTTGTGACAATGTCTATGTTCTGACATGCTATTACAGTGAAATAATAGTGGCCCGCTATCTAACTGAAACCGATAAGCACGGGTGTGCGGTTGACTCAGTAAACGCTGATCTCATTAGAAAGTCTAGGTATTTAATAAACATCATTTTATACCTTACACTGATCTTAATTAAAAAATATTCTTGTTATTGTTATCCGATTATGTATCATAGATGTCGTGTTGAATAAACTCATCGGCGTTGTAGGATTTGTTACCTTTCAAAATGTCATTGTAAAGCCTTTAATGTTTATTCCAAAATTTCAATAGTAATTAGTTATAAGTGATTGTTAAAATCGTGGATATGTTTGACCGTCTATAGGATACTATTAATAATGCCATGTAAAAATTGTTTTTATGTCCGACGCGGACATGTACTTAGAATAATAAAAGTAATAAAAACAGTGTCTTACTTTAATTTCCCGATAGTGAATACTTATTCAGGAATCAAAAGAAAAGTCAATTAGATTTTATTATTAAGCATCGCCGCGAATTGCAGCGCGATGCGGTCGTCATGGCAGTTTAGCGACGGGTGGGGTCAAGGTTACCGAGGTGGGGTAATGACATAACGGGGAGTGGAGGGAGAGGGGAATAAGTCGGGCGATCAGATGTATGCGTGTGTGAGTTTGGAGTGATAACACCGATGCGCGGTCAGTGACTTCTACAATCAGGGTTGTTACAGTTAATTAATTTTTTAATTTTTGTCGTCAAAAAATGCTTAGATTCGTATTTTAAAATTATGCCATTTCATTCAAAGTCTGATATATATACACGGCTTTAAATGTTACAACATCTTTCTGTAACACCCTGTATAAATTTATAATCAGCGGCTGGTGTAGAAAGCGCCGCATAATAGACACTGATTCCCTCCCTTACCCCTGTGAGACGAAGTTCTGCTGATGCTAGTGGAGCTGCGTGAACTGCTGTTGGTTCCTGTTGTGGTACTAGTGCAGGTGCAGGTTGTCGCGTTTTTTGTGTGCCCAGAGATGTTTAAGTCGGAGTTGGTGGTACCGGGAATCTCTAGGTTGCTGCTATCAAAGGTGCTGGCTTCCGAGCTTAAGTTGTTAGGGGTTGCGGAGGGGCTTGGCAGTCTAGATGGGGCCTCATGGATACTCGTGCCGGGTTGGTTCTTGAGGCTGAGGTTTGTGGTTATTTGCCGAGGGCATTCCCTGAGATTGTTAATGAGGGAGTTGTCTGATCTTGCGTTGGAAATCATAATTTCAACCAGGTTGTATATAGTATGTGTTAGTTTTTCGTTGGTATTGCGGAGAGAGTCGATTTCCTCCCTTGCTTTCCTTAACGGGTTTCTAGCTTCTTCGAGTGTTGAGCAGTTATCTTCCATGGTTGTGCTATAGATATTTGAAGGTAGTGGTGATTTACAATATAAAAGATGGCGTGATTAAGAGGGTAGCTGAATTAGATGAGCGGGTATGTATAGATGTATGAGGTGTGTTATGTAGGAAAGTTATTAGTTTTTAAAATGGGTTGGTTATTATGTCTTGTTAAAAATGCTTGATGGTTTTTACAATGTATTTAATATGGTTGTGGAAAGTTATGGCAGTTGCTTCTTTTTTAATAATTTCATTTAGGTTGTATGAATTGGTTATGTTAGCAGTGGAGGTGGCTATTAAGTGTTCGTTTCGGGTTGAGCTAAATCTACAGCAGTCTTTTATGAGATGGTCAATGGATTGTGGAGTGTGGTTGAATTTGTATAATTGTTGTATATTGGGGAATAGGGTTTTGGTGTATATGCAGTTTTGTGGCAGTGAGTATATGTTAATTAATTCAGAATAGGTTATTTCTTTGTTTTTGTGTTTTATGTAGCTTATTGGGATGAGGTTGTAATCGGGTTGCTTGTGCATAAAGGCGACTGATTTTAGCGGCTGTGTCTGCGAGTTCGTTGCCAGTGATACCGATGTGTGCTTTTATCCAAATGAAGCTAATGTTTAAGTTATGTTTTTGGGCGTTTATTAGATTTTTAAGTATTTCTGAGGCATAGGGTGGTGGCTGTTGGGGTTTGTTAGTTCAGTTAGTCCGGATTTGCTGTCTGATAAAATGATACTGTTATTGGGTTTGTTGGTAATAATCCAGTCTATTGCCTTTTTGATAGCCAGAAGCTCAGCCTGGAATATAGAGCAACAGTCATGTAGTTTAAATTTTTATGGGTAGTGCGTTTTCCGTTTGGGGTGATTATAACGAA